AGCCAGCGTTCAACAATTTTTGTGTTTCGATGATGATGGCCTCCCGCCTTTCACCACCGACCTTCCTCTTCCTCTGGGCTACTGGCTTCGCCTCCTTGTGTATCGCTAACTTGTGGCAGATGAAGTCAGCGTCTATACCTGGCATGTCGGCACTAGACTAGGCAAAGAGGTCGGCGTTCTTGAGGATCTCAGCTTCGAGCTGCTCCCGCAACTCCAGGCTCAACTGCCTGCTGATCTTCGTGCATTGCCCTGAGAGTTTTCCAATCTGGAGATCATCGAGCTCGTCGATGGGACTCAGTCGTTCATCGTGGGAATCGGACCTCGGGTCGAGGTTAGTGATCTCCCCGTGGGTGATGTGAGCCACTGTAGGAGGATCACTCTTGGATCGCTCGCCAGACGAGGAGATTTTCAGACTCTCGGTGTAGCATTGCCGAGCTATCTTCTAGTTTGCCTTGACAGAAATAATGTCTCCACCACTCCCTGGGAATTTCATGGTGAGGTGTGGGGTGGACACCACTGCTCCGAGTTGATTCAAGGTCGGTCTCCCAATGATTATGTTGTAGGAAGTGTTGGCCTCTACGAGGAGGTATTAGACCATAATCCGCCTTGTGTCTGGAGAGGTCCCAAAAGTTGTCAGCAGGTCCACATATCCCCGAGTGTGTACTCGCTCTCCTGCAAAACTGACTAGGGGCTCCGTGTGAGGTTGGATGAGAGAGTGAGGGATGTCTAACCTGAGGAACGTCGGCCAATACAGGACGTTAGCCGAGCTCCCTTGGTCAATCAGTGTCTTGTGGACCTCCCAATTAGCTACCTCCACGGCGATGACCATGGGGTCATCCTGGTTGGGGCTGACGCCAGCGTAGTCATCGTCGGTGAAGGTGATCGGCGGTGAGCTCTGGTGTGAAGCCGAGGTAGTGGAGTGGACGTTGTTGATATTGCACAAGTGTCTCTTCCAGGTCAAGTTACTGGCGCCTCCCCCTGCGAAACCACCTGCAATCGTATTGATTACTCCTCGTAGGGGAGCTGACCTTGTTTCCTGGCTTACCTCAGCTTGCACTGCTCTGCCGGCATTTTACTGAGAGCCAGAAAGTTGGCCCGTGCGAGCTCTCGAACCACGTCCTCTGCCTCGTCCTCGTCCACCATAGCCTCCTTGGTGACCCTGCTGTCGTTGGACATATTGGCCGATGTGGCCCGCCTGGATGAGTTCCTCAATGCGGTCTCGGAGTGTACGACACTCTTCAGTGGTGTGACCGTGGTTCTTGTGATACCGGCAGTGTTTAGACTTGTCCGCACTATTGGGAGTGTGACCTGGTGGCGACAGGGTGAGCAAGTTGTTGTTACTGGCCTCCTCTAGGATGTGAACTCGGAGCGTATTCAGGGAAATGTAGAAGTCGTATCTCCCCCCTTGTTTGTCCGAGCAGTTTTCTTGAACTGGCTGTCGTTAGTGACCTTCATCTTGTCTTTGTGGCCACTGTCAGGTTTCGCTTGTAATTTTCCGTGAACCTGGTCACGGAAGGCGGAATGTTCCTCCATTTGGATGTGCCCAGCAGCACGGGCACGGAGCTCGTCCATGTCGCGAGGGGCCTCACGACATAGGCTGTCGATGAACGGTCCGGGCTTGAGTGCGATGAGCATGGCATGCAGGCCGACTTCAGGGTTCAGATTTTGGATTTTGACCGAGATGTTGGCGAAACGCTCCATGAATGCTCTCAGTGACTCATCGTCACCCGGGCAGAGGCTAGCCAAGGCGGCCGATGTGACATGGTGGGGTCGACTAATGGCGTACTGGGCCGTGAACTGCCTCACCAGAGTGTGAAAGTTGTCGATGGATTCAGCCAGTAATTGGGTGTACCAATTGAGTGCAGCCCCTTTGAGCGAGGTGGGAAAAACCCTACACAGAATAGCATCATTATTAGTGTAGAGGTTTACCTGTGTGGTATACAGGTCGATATGCTCGTCCGGGTCCGTCGTGTCATCGTAACGATCGAGGTGGAGAGGCTTCCATCCGTGAGGGAGTGGCGTCTCCATGATGCCATCCACAAAAGGATGACGGCGGAAGGTTGCTTGACCCCGCGTGACATGAGTAGGGGCCTTGCTGACTTCATGGGCCGACTTGTTCGTCGGTGCATGAGACCGATGCGTGACAGGTCGTGGAGTCGGTGCTCTAGTCGCAGTCCGGGGTTGAGAGACTGAATGCCCTTCTTCCTCGTGGAGGTTGCTCGCCTACGGAGGATGATCAGAGGGGCGTCGAGGGAGCTGGGAGCGAATCCGCTCATTTTCAGCGCGTAGTGCCGCTAGGTCAGCTTCATTAGCGGCGCGCATCACTACTAGATCAGTTTCGTGCTTGGCACACATGTTTTGCAGGTTGGCGATGTGCTGCTGCCGCATCTGTTCGACCTGGTCGATCAGTCTCCTCAATGACGCTTCGTTGTCCATGCTAGTTATGTGATCTAGGTCGTCTGTTGCTCGTCTGCTATGGCTTCTGGTGAAAACCCTAAGCGTGTCCGATAAGAGTTGTCTTGATCGGCCCCACGGTGGGCGCCAAGTGTTCTTACCGGGGATCTGAGGGAGAGTTGATCCGCTGGGTAAGGTCGGCGAGCCTCCTTCACTGGTACGCTTGTTGCTCCAAGATGGGGGTGGTACCTGCAAAAGAGACTCCGATGCTAAAGTTAGGGTTTGTGTGAATATGAGTCTCGTATAAGTAATTCACGTACCTTAGTGTGAATTAGTGTTTCGTTGGGTCTTGGGCTTGAGATCAGTTATGATCTGATTAGATAGCGGATCTCGTCTAGTCCGAGATCTCCCAGCGCATGTCCGAGGTCGTTCTGCGCTGTGATACCGAGCTCGAGCTCGGCATGGCGATACGGATAGTACAAATTACATATTTTACTTATTGTCATTACTTAAGTTTACTTATGCTTACTTAATTCAATAACTCATATTTTAAATTAAATTTCAACGATTCAATCATTAAATTTAAGGTTCTTAATGTATAGATTAAAGTTGTAAATTTTTTTAAAAAGATTAAAAATTATTTATTATTTTGTTTCATTAATTCAAATCAACATATACAATATTTTTATAATTATCTGTTAATTTGAATTAATAAAATAAAATATCAAATAATTTTTAAATATTTTAAAAATTTTGCAAACTTAAATCTGTATTAAAAATTTTAATTTCAATAGTTAATTATTGAAATTTAATTTAAAATATAAGTTATTAAATAGTATAAGATTAAGTAAAGTTTGAGTAAACGGATCTTTCCTTTTTATATATATTTGCCTCTATATGATCACTCATCACTATATATATATATATATATATATATTAAATACTCATATTTTGTGGGTGTCATACTTTGAAAGAGAGAAAACACGTGATGTAAGAGCATTGAAAAAATTTTCCCTTTGTTAATTAGCAACAAAGTGTGGGCATCTCGCGTTGAAAGTTCTAAAATTTGATACCGTCACATTTATTGGGTTGACTATCATGTTACAACTTGCATTGCAGAGCTATTATTATGAAAGAATGGTCAACTTTTATCTAGGTGGCGTGGCATGACTTAATAGTTAAAATATTGTCATATTTTTAGTTAATTATTAATATATTTTTAAAATATTTTTCAGCACGTTTCTTTTTAACTATTTTTAAAATAATTATATTTTATAAGGTAAAAAAAATTATATTTTAATTTGCAGTCAACAAACAGAGACAAACAACCTATTTCACATACTCATATTTTGTATGTGAATTCGGTTCAACCCATGTATTTGCAAAGTACTTTATTCTCTCGAAGGATGCCCAATGTGAAGAAATATAGGTAGTTTCAGTTCTAAGCAATCAGGGCGTGGAAACCTCCCACAATTCAATTCCTCAAGTTTATAGATTTAGCAGATAAGAGTCGGTGACAAAAGCATAGAATATTAGAAAACAAGACGACTTACAAAATTAAATTTTCAATAGCTTTTTCCTCTCCATAGCTTTAGCTTGGGGTACTTATTATGCCTGCGAGTAAGTCAAAGGGAGACAAGATTCCTAATTGTAAATCGTCTTCTTAATTAAAAAGGATCAGAACTAGTAACTAATGTCATAGATAGGCAACACAACGTATTAATTCTAATGTTTCACTCAAGAGTTTAATAGCTATACATTATTTTTTTTTATAAAAAAATCATTATCAACAATAAAATATTAGTGTTAGTATAATAATTAAAATAATTACTATAAAACTAAATGAATTTATAAAACATTGCAATTGATGATTAGATAACATGATATAACTTATTTTTTCTTAATTTAACTAATTTTTATTTATTTATTATTTTTTTAGTTTGATTAAATAAACATCTTTAATATATATATATATATAATACCTATCTCATTAATAATTTTTCGCCTTTAATTCATTGTCGGTACCAATAAATAAAGTCGAGATGGTAATAGTATTATCATGAGCTGATTTGTTTTCTAATTGATTGATCCTCAATAATTTTTTAAAATATTCACATCATTTTCAAAGTTTTTTTTTATAAGTAAAAGAGATTTAAGTTAGAGGAAGTATAATGAGTACTCCAATCCATTATAAAAAAATATAGAGATATAATTAGAATTTAAAATTAAAATAAAAACTATGAAAATCAAAAACTCAAGTTATAGTACTAATAATCGAAGATAGAATTACTAATCCACATTCATGAACGTAGTTTAAAATTGTCCAATACTTTCTTGCAATTTATAGTACTTTACTAAAAAGATAATAACATTCCGATAAAACCACAGTTATCAGATAATAGAAACTCAAGTCACTCAAAAACACTCGTAACGTTTTTTATACATCATTTTCAAAGTTAACTCATATAATAATAAATAAAAAAAAACTTATATTAACGAACAAAACAAATAGTGATTTAGACGTAGAGTCTATCCTACCCGAAACACGTTAATCTACTCATTAAATGATTGGGTTTGAAAGACTTGACATTTGCGGTATTCTAAAATTGGCAAAAAGTGGAATGTGAGGGAGCAAAACAAGTAACAAGGATGAAATGTCAAACGGTGCTTCTCTAACTTTTCAAACATGCGTTCTGAATTTTCCAAGAGTGGACGGACATGTTCCTTCTACTTCTAGATCTACATGTTTGTTAATTTATAAATGTCTTAACATAATAATAATTAGGCAGGAAGACGGAAGAGAACTGAGAGTTGATGATTCTAAAATCTAAACACTTAATCAGTATCTAACTATTCCAAAGTTGTGGTCGCATGATGTTTGGGTGCCGCAGCAACATGTTCCTCTTCAACAACAACCATGTTCTCGTTAGTACCTTTCTTCTCTTCCTATCTCTGTTTCGTTCCTCAGCAACTCCCATTTACAACGCCAATTACTGCCCAAGCAACGCATCGTACCAATCCAACGCAACTTTCGAAGCCAATCTAAGGGTTCTCCTCGCCTCTCTCGTCTCCAACGTTTCCAATTCTGACGGCTCCTATTACTCGGCCATGGGCATGGGAACCACAAGCGTCGCCAACGGCCAATTCCTCTGCCGCGGCGACCTCTCCATCGCCACGTGTCAGGACTGCATCACCACCGCCGCCACCGAGATAAGGCGCCGCTGCCCCAACAAAACGGAGTCCGTCATATGGTACGACGAGTGCACGCTCCGTTTCACCAACCTATACTTCGCTCCCACCACCGTCTTCCCTGGAGCGATGTTGCCGGATGACAAGAACATCTCTGCCTCCGACATGGACAGTTTCAACCGCACGTTGTTCGGTTTGTTGAACGACTTGGTAGAAGAGACTGCGAATTCCCACTCGGCGAGGAAATTCTCCGCCGGCGAAAGCGAATTCGCGAGGTCCTCGACGGTGTATGGGTTCATGGAGTGCGAGCCGGACTTAACGAGTGCTCAGTGTAAGGAGTGTTTGCAAAACGCCGTTTCGACGCTTCCGTCGTGCTGCGGAGGCAAACAGGGCGCGAGGGCTCTGCTTGTGTGGTGCAGTGTTAGATACGAATTGTACCGTTTTTACAATACTACCGACAAATCGCCTTCTTCAGGTATTTTCCTTTTCATTCCTATATATATGCCCTACTTAACTAACTCATCTCATCTCTCTCAAACTCTCTATTTTGATTTGTCATTGCATCATACATCATTTTTCTGGGGAAAACCTCTTCTTTTTATTTTTTTCTTAACTTTTTGAGGAATGTAAAAAAAAAATGTATTATTGTTCTTACAATAATCAAACCATTGACAGACGTATAAGTTACCTTTCAATTAACGTCTTTTATTCTTTTCATCTTTGCTTTTTCGTCAACATTAGTGGCTATGGCTACATGAAATGCATTTTAAAATGAAACATTTTCAAGGGTACAAGGCATCCATTAGGCGCAAGGACTAGCCATCACAAATCAAGATTAATAACCAAATTCTTTTAAAATGGATCCCACATTATGTGCAATAGATTAAAAAAAATATTGAAATTAATTTATAGTTTAAAATTCTCAGTGACCTTAATCATTGGTTTTTTTCTTTGTTATCTAGAACCTGATCGGGCTACCGTGGCATCTGAAGCAACTATAAAATATTAAATAGTTTATTACTTTCTTTTCTTGCAAGTTGCAACAAATAATAAATTATTGTACATAGTTTACGCTAACAATATGATATATTATAATAATAGTATATATTATTTTTTTATGCTAATGAAATTATCTATTTGTATAATGCTTTTCACTGTTAGGATAAATTCATAATCTTCATATCAATAGTTTAATTTATATTAGTTAAAGAAATATATTCATAGAGACTTGACCAATGCTAAATATTTAGTAAATGACATTGTTTGAGTGATATTTGTATAATGAAGTCTTTCTTTTTCTTTTCTTTTTTTTAATTGTTATAGCCTATTTTTTTTCTACAATTATTTATGCAGGAAATAATAAATCTGTATTACGAATAGTCTTGATTGTTGTCTCTGTTGTTGTGTGGATAATTCTCTTGTGCTGTATCGGCTATTTCATATTGAAAAGATCCAGGAAGAAATACAGAACTCTTCTGAGGGAAAATTGTAAGTAACATGATATCAATGTCAATTCTATTCTCATTTCTTAAAACGGCTAAATCGACTAATTTTACTTTTGTACTTTAATGTTACTCTAGTTGGAGAAGAAAGCGCCACTTTAGAGTCTTTACAATTTAGCTTGACCACAATTGAAACTGCCACAAAAAGGTTTTCACATGAAAATAAAATAGGTGAAGGTGGATTTGGGGCAGTTTATAAGGTAATAAAGTGTAATTAAAAATATATGCACATTTGTTTCTTGTTGTTTACTAAATTGATTGTGTTTTTAGGCTATCCTACCGGATGGACGAGAAATAGCCGTTAAAAAACTCTCACAAGGATCGGGACAAGGTGCAACAGAATTTAAAAATGAGATTTTATTGATAGCAAAACTTCAACATAGAAATTTAGTCACATTGCTTGGATTTTGTTTGGAAGAACAAGAGAAAATGCTTATTTATGAATTTGTACCCAATAAAAGTCTTGACTACTTCCTATTTGGTAAAATTCTTTTACTCACCACTACTTTTTTCTTTTCTTTATTTATTGTTGAACTTTAAATTTCACATGTTGGAAGAATGTTTCCCTTTATATATTTTATCTCACTTTATATGGATTTTTTTATTTGTAGATCCCTATAAAAGTAGCCAAATGAGTTGGTCACAACGCTACAAAATTATTGAAGGAATTACACAAGGAATTCTATATTTACATGAACATTCACGATTAAAAGTTATACACCGAGATCTTAAACCTAGTAATGTATTATTGGATAATAACATGAATCCAAAGATTTCAGATTTTGGAATGGCAAGGATTGTCGCTATAGATCAACATCAAGGAAAAACAAATAGAATCGTCGGAACATAGTAAGTATTTTTAAAACACATTTTCCTTTTTAACTTCATCTTTTCTCTCTAATTTTATCATTTGTTAGATAGAAATTAACATTTATGTTTTTATTAAAATAGTATATTTTAGTGTATTTTTGAGTTCTTTAATATATATACATTTTCTAATAATGATATTTTTAAATAGTGGTTATATGTCTCCAGAATATGCAATGCGTGGAGAATTTTCTGAGAAATCAGATGTTTATAGTTTCGGAGTTATAATTTTGGAGATAATTAGCGCAAAAAGAAACATGAGTTCTAATTTTCCAGATCATGATGACCTCTTGAGTTATGTAAGTATTTATTTCTATTATATTTTTTTACATTATATACCAAATGCTAATCAAATGAAAGACGCAATGATCAATCCAATTAATATTTGATTTACAAATTGGTTGCAGGCTTGGGAACAATGGAGAGGTCAAACACTATTAAACATATTAGACTCAAATATTAAGGAATCTTGCGATCAGAGTGAAGTCATTAAATGCATCCAAATTGGTTTATTATGTGTACAAGAGAAGCCATACGACAGGCCTACAATGACACAAGTTATTTCATATCTCAGTAGTTCTATAACCGAGTTGCCATATCCTGAAAAACCAATTAATTCTAAACAAAGTGGAATAGTTCAAAAAAGGATGGTAGGAGAATCGAGTTCAGGTTCGACATTATCAAATAATGAAATGTCTCTGAGCATGTTTTTTCCTCGATAATATTTGTTGTTTTGTATATAAATAAATCGTATATATTCATTGTAAGTAAGTCATGTGTATTCTATGTTATTAAATTGAGTTAAATTTATATGATATTATGTTAAGTTTTCATGATGGGGTGAATTACACACAACAAATTAACAATTTTTAGCCGTTATTAAAAGAGGAATATTAGTAACTCTATATAATACTTTCTTTATTATTGGTGAAATTTGTTGGAAATCACAAATTTTGTAGTTCTCTCATTTCATACAAGGAATCTCTTTCTTGATTTAGTAATAGAGTCCACCCAACGTTATAACTTTCAACCAATAATAAAAAAACATCGGCATTTTTTTATATGAAATATTTGTCTTGCATGTAATTTTACGTGGAAACATTTAGTGGTGAGTATGAGTAAAGGTTTCTAGACTGACTCATTAAAGCTATGGCACATGCAAATACAAACATTTTTTTTAAGATTTATATAATTATAACAAATTCTTGACTTGACTCGCGAAGTACACGGATCATGCATTTTATTTGTGAAACATGTGCACCAACCTATTTCACATTAAAATTTAACAATGTTTCATATATGTTTGTGTTTAAGAAATTAAATTTTAAAATTTTAATATTCGATTAGTATATTTGAACTTTTAAATTTTTAATATATTAAAGTTTTCATGTTTTTGTTATAATGTAAAAACATTAATATATAGAACTTTTGTTTTCTTTTTGTGTTTCTTTTCTTTCTCATGTTTTTATAGTTTAAAAAGAAAATTAAAAAAATAATTTAAATTTGCTAGATTTTTTTTTAAATCCAGATTATAAAAATAAAATATTAATCTATATGAAAACTTATACTGGAGGAATGAAAACTTAGAAGCATCTATATGGAACCCCTTATTAATCTTTGGAGACTAAATGTAATTTTAACCTATCACGTATACTGGTTCATCTTATAATATGATTTAAAGAAAAACTTTTCTTTGAAAAACATCTAAGTTTGTTATCATTAAAACTTATATCCTTAGAGATCCAATATTGTATTTTGATCTTATATATATATATGTGTGTGTGTGTGTGTGTCTTAGAGATCCAATATTGTATTTTGATCTTATATATATATATTATATATATATATATATATATATATTTATTTATTTTTTTATCAATCTAATTACGATAATTTGAGTTTAATAAAAAAAAAGTTGGGCATATGTAAAAATAAAATATTCTTATTTATGTCACATTTACTAATTCGACTCAATTAAAAGAAGAAAAAGCGTATTTCTTTTTATTTTATTTATTGGGTTAGAAAAAAAATTGTTATTAAACGTTATTTTTGTAAACATAGAAATGAAAGGAAGAATCTGTGCACTGAAAATTTATTTTTTTTTATTTTATTATTAAAACCGTAGAAATCAATTAATAGTCTATATTTTATTTTTGTAATAATAATATGATAAAATTTAGATGCTGTAGTATAAATAATTTTAGTATATTTTTTATTAGAATTAAAGTTTTTTCTAACAACATTTAATAAAAAAATTTGTTATGCATATTATCATAATTTAATTTTAAAACAATAAATATTTATACCTATTACAAAGGGAATGTCTTGATTTTGTGTACACAATTTTTGGACTACTTTACCATTTATTATCTATATTTATTATAAAGTGAATATCTTATTTTTGTGTACATGATTTTTGGGTTATTTTACCCCCTATTATCTATATTTATAACTATTATAAAGGAGATATATTTTGGTAATCATCCCTTTGGTCTCCACTTTTTAGTGGACCATTATACCTCTTAAAATGTAAAAGAAAATGTTATTATATTCTTTCTAAATAATTATCTACAACATTTAATATTTGTCTATATGTAATTATCCGTGCCTCAACCCCTCTAGTCTATTATAAAGGAGATATCTTGTTTTCATGTACATAATTTTTGGACCATTTTTATACTTATTATAAATGAGATATCATGTTTTTGTTTAAATGATTTTTGGACTATTTCACCCTTTGTTATAAAAGAGATATCTTATTTTTATGTACACAAATTTTTTGATTATTTTACCCTTAAATTTTTAAATAATAAAAAATAATATTGAAAATTAACTAAACTCAAAAACTTAAAGTTTGAAGACTGTGTACAATATCATTTGATTCAATAAACATTAATAATTTTTAAACACTTTTAAATAAATATAAAACCACAAAGTACCTCGACTCTATCAATAATAAAAATAATAATTCTTTTGAAATAGGTGGGTGAATATCATCACAAAAGATAAAAAGCTTAATGTACCATAAATTGCTAAATTATTCTAAACAACATAGTCTTTAATTAATTTTTAAATGATGTATACTCAAGTTTTACTAAAAACTTTTCTAAAATTTAAAAATTTAAATAAATATTATAATATATAAAAAAACTCACCTTTATTTTGACAACCTCTTCATGGTTTGTAGTGAATAAGTTTATTGTTTTTAAAGATTTGGTTGAGTTCAATTTTTTGTGAAAAATAAAATATAAAACCACAATCATTGTAATAACTGTATAAGTCACTTCTTTTACACTTTTTCAATCCGAATTAGCCATTTGAAATCACTCGATATTCTATTTTTCCATTCGTTTAATGCGGCTATGGGTCGGGCCTCGGGCTTTTGCCCACCCTTAATTGGTACTAAGGTTCTTTGACTAAAAAGTAAGGCTAATAACCCATAATCGGTAACCTTGGTCAATTGCAAATGTCAACAACATTTTTGATATTTTTTTTATTGATTTACAATTTCGGTGTCTCTATTTTAAAATAAAGATATTTAATTTTTTATTTAAAAAAATAGAATTTAGATCTTATTTATTAATTTAATATTCGTTGATCATTAAATTTTAATTTTATTTAGTAATTTATCATTACTTAAATAACGTAATATTTAATAATATGATATTTATAAATAATTAAAAAAATAACATGTAAAAAATTTTGATTTTTATTTATTTTTATGAGTAATTGATATTTATTTTATTAATTAAAATTTTATTTGTATAATTTTTTATTTTTATTTTAATTTCTAAATGTAATTTACTTAATTTTACATCACTTACATATGACTAATAGTTAAAACTTAACAATTAGTGATGTTAATTTGATGGAAAGATTGAAATTTTGTATTTTTAAAATTACAATGACTAAAGGTCTCTATTTTAAAATAGAGGAATTAAAGGTATAATTTTTTTATTTTTTTTTCTAAGGCAGTAACTTATGTTATGGGTCTTATGCAAGAAAATCCATTACCCCATTCGATCAAATGTCAATATATTAAGTTGGGACGGGTTTGTTTGTGTGCGTTTTTTTTTTTTTTAGAATTCAATTCAACCTAACTAGATCACAAATGAGTTGGGTCAATTGGATCACCATAATTAAAAGATATTTTGATGCAAATACAATGTTATCGACCCATAAAATTAAATAATGAGATAAACTAATTTTAGAATAATTTATTGATTTGTTACATTGTTATTGACTCAAACAACTAATATTAATACAAAATAAAATTTAAAATAAATATGTTTTGTTATTACAATGTTATCAATCCAAAACGTAAAATGTATTGCTAAGGAAAATTGCAAGTGGCTATTATCTTGATCAAGTGACTATCCAAATACCAACTTCTTCGGGTGTTTGGTTTATCATTTGGAAAGTATTAAACAAGCATTCACTCATTCCAATGCACAAAACGCTAAAGCAAGTATATTGATAGATTGGAAAAAACGTGAGTTACGTTCAACTCAACGTTTTTCCAAACACGCTGTTCATCATTTGGGTTGAGTTATGTTACAAATAAAAATACAAAATTAAATACAAAAATCATTACTTGACCTATATAATGACTAATTTTGATCAAGACAAACTATATTTAACTTAAACACTAAAAAAATCCGATCTAAATTAATTAAGTGAATTTAAGATACTTTAGATTTGCATATTACCCGTATTGTTTACACTCTAATATAACTTTACTCTAGAAATACTTTAATTTTTTAATTTGTTTATACAGAGAAAGAAAAACCTTTCCACTTTTCCTTCTTTTACGCATAAGAAGGGATCTTCTAATGTACTAATAACTAATAAGTTAATGCTTCCTTTGTTTGTGGGTATTATGTTCAATACTTTTTGCTTTTTAAGTAACTAAGACATTTTCCAAAAAGACTCAAAAACGTACATGTTGAAACACAACGAACAATACTTAATCATATTTTCAATGATATTTTGATTACATTGTTTAAAGACCAAGATAAATAAAAGTGATTACTGCATTCACATATAAATATGTTTTAAAAATATTATTTAAAAATTATTAGAGTTGACTCAATGATAGAAGAATATTATACACATAATTCTAAGTTTGGATTTTATTGTTGTTAGTATAATTTTAATTGATAAAAAATTAAAAATATAATCAAGAACACTTGTTTAAAGAGTGATTACTATACTCTTACTATATGTTGGATATTTATTTTAATACACAAACATTTTAGATAGAACAAGATATTGTATTAGAAAACACTTGTAAAAGCATTCATTTAACATTTTTTTTATAAACATGTCAATAAATAATGATGTTATTAACATGTAGTATTTACTATCTTTATTAATTAAAAAATAATATTTACTTTAATCAATAAATAATATTTACTTGAATTTGGTTGACTAATTTTATTGGAATCTCTTTAAATCTTTATTATTATCAGAAATAACTTCAAATATTGGACCATTTATATGTGTTTAATTCTAACAATATGTTTTTTTCCAACCAAATTAAAGATTAAAAGTCATTAGATTATAGAAAATGTTTTTGTTTTCCTTATTTATCGTTTACTTTATTTTTTTAAGTTTATACAAAAAAAAAAGTAAAAAGAAAATTTACAAACAGAAAATAATAAAAAAGTTATTTACTAAATTTCCTGTATAAAATTTGGAAGACAGAAAACTAAATAAGAGCAAAATAAACTAGAAACAGGAAATAGTGATATTGGTGGAGATACAAGTTAGAAATGGCGGCATTCTTTCAAATCGAACAAACACTGTGCCATTCAAGTATTCAACGGTGTTTTAATTTGTTGACCTCTGAATGTTTGAAATTTCATTCTTTCTTCTTGTCTTGCAACTAAAAGTTGATTTCGATTTCACTAATCCTGATTATCATATTCCCATCTTGCACATAAATATAATTATATTCCATTCAGAATTTTAAAACCATTATTATAAACTGTTTTTTTTTTTTTCCCGATTGAAATAACTAACAAGGAATGATTCTTAGACGTTTCAAAATTTTCCACTGTGGTGCAGACTAGACCTTGCGCGTTTCTTATAGTTCCTTGTTCACCAACCAAGACTACGCAAGAGGCAAAAACAGAAGAACCAATACATGGAATTCATCAAATACTAAAATTCCTTAGATTTTCTTACCAACATGCTTCTCTTCAACATCAATTGTGTAACTGTAACCTCGTTTCTGCTCCTCTCTCTATTGGGATCACTCCCATCCCCAACCTTAGGGTCTCCGAATTACAACGACATTTACTGTCCAAACAACGCAACCTACGAATCCAACACCACATTCCAAACCAATCTCAATGTCCTCCTCGCTTCTCTCACCTCCAACGCCACCCAAGGCGTTGACTCCTACGCCACCATCATGGGCTTCGGAACCACCAACGCCGTCAACGGCCTCTTCATCTGCCGCGCCGACCTCTCCTCCGCCACCTGCCGCGACTGCGTCGCCACCGCCGCCGCAGACTTCACGCGGCGCTGCCCCAACCAGACGGAGTCCGTAATCTGGTACGACGAGTGCACGGTACGTTACACGAACCGCTACTTCAACCCTACCGGCATCGTTCCAAGGGCGAACCTGTGGGACGACAAGAACATCTCGGCCTCGGATTGGCGAAGCTTCAACCAAACGTTGTTTGGCTTGTTGAACAGCTTGGCTACCGAAGCTGCCGGTTCCCAGTCAGAGACGAAATTCGCGAGCGGGGAGGTTAACTTCACGGCCTCTTCGCGCGTGTATGGGTTGGCGCAGTGCGGGGTTGGCATGACGAATTCTCAGTGTGAAGCGTGTTTGGTGAATGCCTCGAAAACTCTTGCCACGTGTTGCCAACGAAAACAGGGTGCAAGAGCTCTGCTTGCG